GATTTGGGTGACTCTTTGTTTGTCGGAATGATTTTTAATCGATAGACAATCATATAGTGGATCGCCAAACCTTCAGTCAATTTAGTTTTTTTGATGTGGAATATTAGATTATCTCGAGTACTCCATAACATAGGGTGTTGTCTGGATTAAATTTTTTAGTGCCTGCCCTTGCTTCGTAGAAATTTTTCTGCTCAAATAAAGCTGGACAAAGTAAGCACGTCTCTATCATAGGAAGCTCTCGTGGCTAACTAAAAGTTAGGTAGATGATCGGAATCGGCCGCCGGAACTTCGGCGGTAGCGCCACTGGCGTAATTGAACCGCCAGATTTCATGTCTTCCCCCGTCATGTTGACAGCTCCGACGACTTCCGATCCAGGAATTCCTCTTCTCAACCTCTCGCTTCTGGGCAAGAAAATGGATTCCCTCCGCTTCTTTCTTTCCGATTCCATCGATCGCCGCGTTTCAATAAGCGGCGACCAGCTCCAGTTCGTCTCCAACGAGATAGCCTCAGTCGTTCACCAGGTCATCATCAATGGCTCCGCCCTCCTTCTCGCTTCCACCCGACATTCAGATGGCGTCAAACCCTTACAACTGCCGTCTAAGGTTGATGCGGATCCCTCAGATAATACCGCTCAGTTGCCTCCTCCTCCTCTTCGGTCATCGGCGGTGGCCGAATCAGACGGACAAATTGTGGAGATTGATGCGGCGGAGTTAATGGCGGAGCACGTCCACTTTTGTGAGATCTGCGGAAAGGGTTTCCGGCGCGATGCCAACCTCCGAATGCACATGCGCGCTCACGGAGATCGCTTCAAAACCCTTGAGTCCCTAACGAAGCCGGACGGTCGGATTTCTTCTGAGGCGATTTGTCCGGGAAGGAAGGTACGGTTCTCGTGCCCTTTTCTTGGCTGCCGTAGGAACCAGAGTCACCCACGTTTCCGGCCACTGAAGACGACGGTATGCGTTCGGAACCACTTTCGGCGGAGCCACTGTCCGAAGTTGTACACATGCGATTTATGCAACAAGAAGAGTTTCTCGGTGGTGGCGGATTTGAAAAGCCACAGGAAGAGCTGCGGGGAGTCGCAATGGAGGTGCACATGCGGCACAAGCTTTTCTAGGAAGGATAAGCTGTTTGGCCATGTTACCTTGTTTGACGGCCACTTTCCTGTAGTTGGAGCTGTGGAGGAGGAGAAGGGAGAAAGCATGGTGAAAGGTGGTGAAATAAAAGACGAGAGAGGGGGACAAGCTGGGGGAAGTGTAGATGAAGAATTTTTTAGTGGGCTGATGGAGGAGATTGGGGTAATGGGTGGCGGGTGGATGAGACCTTAGGATCTATGGATTGGTCATTTTGGCTTTCCTACCTAGAGTGGCACACAGGTGCGCAATCCATCACTTTTTTTCATCAGATATTGCATCGATTTTTCCGTCTGTTATGAGTGCAGATGAGCATTACAAGAGGAGGAGATTTCGTAAAAATAATCTCAAATAGTTGGATAAGTTTATTTATGATGATGACATGATCAATATGTAGGCGGATGATTATATACTTGGAATATGTTGTAAATGTTTATGATACCTAGTGTATCTTTATGTTTATTTAATGATCTAGTCTATTTTATCATGGGAAGATTGTGCGCTGTTTTTTGTAATCATGCTGAGAAAATTGAGCATAGGGATTGAACAATTGGATGGCATTTTATATGCTTATAGCATTGAAGTGTTTGTCAGTTTGTTTGTTTGAAAATTTTTAGGGGCATTTCCATACATACCACCTAAATGCTCTGAATTTACATATCCAACACCTAAATTTTACTATTTTACATTTATAACACCCAAATTCTTCATATCATATAACAGGTAATTCTATTTTTACTTTTAAAATGTGAAATAGACTTTTTCATATATAGGTAAGGTGACATATATGTCTAACTTGAAGTTTAGGGTTGAGATATTTAAATACATAAGAATTGAGAGGTATGTATGTAAAT